TCGTCCATTGCAATAAACACGATCGACAATTACGGTACGACGCGTGGGCGTAAATCCATTACTCGTTGCCATGGCAGTGTGGATTTAATCACGTCATGGATGAGATGGGTGGATTTCGATTAAAGAATCTTTATTATTTAATACAATATCTAAGAAAAAAAACGTTAATAAATAAAGCTCTAAGCTGTGTGAATGACAATTAAAAGCTTTAGTAATATTGCTTCCAGGCTTCACAGGGTACGTATTGACCGCTGTAGACAGATACAATTACGTCTTTAATTATTTAATTTAGAAGCTTGATTTTCTTCTTCTTCATATCGTAGCGATGCTTCATTTAAGACTATATTGACTTTGAATAGTACGTTGCCACCTGCCTGCGCTATCTGTGGCCGAGATCTTCCCTCGTACAGGTGGTAGGAGACAAGAGCCACAACAGCATTTTTTTAAGAGCACACATTCTTCCCGTATTAATACGGTTAATTTTGTTCAGGTCAAGTGGCAGAGACACTGGCTTTATTTCAAAATTGTTTTTTTTACAAACGATATTAAAGCCTTTCCAAAAATGTATATCGTATACTATATTATGTGTTCTATTTAGCTCACTTGATATTAAAAAAATATTGGTATTTTTATGATACTAAATGATGGAACGAACAAGTGTTGGTACGCGACACGCCTGTCCATAAAAGCTGCAGCGTCACTCAGAGCTATAAATCGCAAGGACTGTGGGGCAGCGCCCCTGCGCCCATCAACCGGAGACATAAATTGAATAGTACTATATTGAATAGTGCATGTAATTTCATCTACACCCTTATCCAGAAACAGGTAAGGTGGCAGTACTTCCCTGGACGAGCTCTTTAAGGAGTCTCTTCTACTAAATATATTCCTAACCTGCCATTATGCTTAGCGTTTGTGGACTATGAGAAAGCCTTTGATTCGGTCGAGGGGATCTACTCTCGATCTCCGTCCGAAACAATTACTGTCAAATAAGTAATATTCGACAAAATTAAAAGACAAGTATCCAGTATGAAGCTTCATTCGCATCACGCGTCTTTTTATTTGGTCAAGTATTGCTTATTTGGCAGTAATTGTTTCGGATGGATGTCGGACGGAAATCGAGAGTAGACTCCGAGATTTGGGCGCTGCTGCAGTCTATACAACAGTGCCACATTAACTATCGATATATCGAAGCGTTGAAATGTTTGTACAGAAACGCCACTGTCTGTTCGACTCCAGGACCAGTACACAAGGCCTATCCAATTGCAAAAAGGGGTGCGACAGGGAGACGTCATTTCTCCGAAACTGTTCACCGCTGCATTGGAAGATGCCTTCAAGTTACTGGTCTGCAAAGGACTCGGCATCAACATCAATAGCGAGTACATCTCACAATTTGAATTTGAATCACCTTCGATTTGCTGATGATATCGTGGTCATGGCATAATCGTTGGAAGAGCTTGACACTATGCTCGTTGACCTCAATAGAGTTTTCCAGCAGGTGGGTCTAAAAATGAACATGGACAAGACGAAACTTATGTCGAATGTCCATGTTGTACCCACCCCTGTAACAGTGGGAACCTCTACTCTCGAAGTTATTGACGAGTATGTCTACCTCGGACAAACCGTCCAATTAGGCAGAGCCGACTTCGAGGAAGAGGTTAATCATCGAATCCGACTCGGTTGGGCAGCTATCGGGAAGCTCCAGGACGTCTTCTCGTCCGCAATACCGCAGTCCTTGAAGACAAAAGTCTTCGAGTAGCGCGTGTTGCCAGCGATGACCTACAGCTCTGACACGTGGTAGCTTACTATGGACCTCATAAAAAAGTCACTTAACGAGCTATGGAGCGAGCAATGGTCGGTATTTCTTTTACGTGATCGAATCAGAAATGAGGAGATCCCTAGAAGAACGAAAGTCCGGTGACTTTGACATAGCCCAAAGGATTCGCAAGTTGAAGTGGCAGTGCACATAGCTCGTAGAACTGATGGCCCTTGGGGCAGAAAGGTTCTCGAATCGATAGATTTACACGTGATGCAAAAGCTAGCCATCTAAAACGTATGGAGTAGTTTATGGACGTCGAATAATTTGACAACTCTAAAAACGATATTATCTAAAGCGATGATTCACTCTAAACTACAAGGGATTCACGTCATCGAAAAAAGATATGTCGGTCCACGAGAGTGGAACCCATTTAGGCAGGTCGTACATACATAATAATAGGGGTTAAAGTATGAAATTGCCGATTTGTACTAAAAATCTAAGTTGTTTATTTTTTAAATTTTTAACAAATTTATTTAATCAAAATAGTTGCCATTATTATCTATACATTGCTGCCATCTAATGGGAAGGTTATTAATGCCTTTGCGATAGAACTCCGACGATCTAGACTGCACAAACTGTGTGAAAGCATTTTGTACTGCCTCCTGGGAAGAAAACTTCTTGTCACGTAGATAATTGTCCAAATCACGAAAAAAATGGTAGTCCGTTGGAGCAAGGTCTGGTGAATACGGAGGATGACGAATGGTTTCTAACTGCAGTTCCTGAAGGGTCAAAATGGTTTCTCGTGCTGTGTGAGGTCTCGCGTTGTCGTGGAGCAATAATGGTGAAGATCGATTCATGAGTCGGGGCTGTTTTACTGCTAGATTTGTCAACATGGTTCGGAGTTCGGCACAATAGACATCTGCCGTTATTGCTTGACCAGATCGGAGAAAACTATAGTGAATAACACCATGCTGAGACCACCAAACAGTTACCATTACCTTTTTATTGCTAAGTTTTGCTTTAGGACACTGTTGTGGCATTTGACCTGGGGTCAGCCATTGCATTTTTCTTTTCCGGTTATCATAAAGAATCCACTTTTCATCACATGTTACAATTCGATCCAATATTCCTTCATTTCTGTACCGGTTCAACAAGGCAACACAAGTTTCAACACGCGTTTCTTTCTGCAGATCAGTCAAATCATGAGGCACCCATTTTTCGTATTTTTTTATTTTATTGATTTGACGCAAGTGAGTCAATATTGTGGGTAAGGTAACGTTAAACCATGCCGCTAATTCCTGGGTAGTTTGACTAGGATCGGCTTCCACTATCTCTCTTAATTCATCGTTCTTTAAGTCGAAATTTCCATCACGAAAGCGTTTAAACCAAAATCGCACGGTGCGTTCATTAGTAGACCCCTCTCCAAATGCAGCATTGATATTGCGGGCTGTTTCTGCCGCGTTAGTTCCGCGTCGGAACTCGTATTCAAAAATCACTCGAATTTTCGCAGTATCCATCTTTCTTGTCTAAATTGAATAACAAAAACAATTGAAAGTCGATATTCAAATGTTTCAAATTTAAAAAAAAAATCACAGAAACCATTTGAAAAAAGTTTCATTCGAAAACCTCAAACCATGAAGATTCTATGAAAATTCAAAGAACCTATTGCAATAAAACGGCAATTTCATACTTTAACCCCTAATACTTTCTTTTTACAATTAATTTAGGTGAACCTTTCACAACAAACAAGATGTTCAGTATTAGACAAATGGAGTGGTTTTTTTTTAAATAAAATTTCTCACTTTACAGTTAAACTTATCAAAGTGAGTAGCAGTGTCAGTCAGCCGTCAAAAACACATTTTCGATGACGAATTCGTGAAAATATAGATATTAGAAAGGTATGGGGTCATTGCGGTCTATGCAAAAGATAAAAAACACCACGTGATCGACAAGACAAAAACTTTGGGAACCTTTGATCTAAACATAGGCAATTGCATTTGCATTTACTCCAATCGTCGCCATTATACTTATATAATATTCTCTAAAGAATGGATATTTAATGCCATATGGATATTTAACGACGGACAATCATTTAGCTATAGTTTTATTTAAGTCACTGGTGAGCGCAAGCGTATCTAATTTTGTTAGTAAAATGGTATCTGTTATCACTGTGCCACTTTGATTGCCACTGTTTCCACGTTATCATTGCGATGTTACAGGGATATAACTACGTGATTTGGTCGTAGCCTGTTAAGGTGATGATCAACGCTCCCAAGGTCCGTGTAAGGTGAAAATTTTAAAAACCCTGACACGAAACAGCAAACTTTAGAAGGACAGTACAGTCATCATCTATCTACCTAGTAGGTACTCGTCGAAACAAATCCACCGAGTAAACTCAGTGGGTCTACCTTTAATAAAGCTTAATTTCTGTTTCCACCTTCCTATGCCATCATCAGACCCTAGTCACTATCTGTAAGTCAACTACACGTCGAAATCAATCCAATGAGTCCAAACACGAGAGCTTTGCTGTGAGTAGTTGAGGAGTTGGGTGGTCCGCAAACTGTCCTGGCGCCAGCATCAAAACACAGTTACCATATCATTGTAGTGTCATCGGATTTACATAGCATGCCAAATTTCAAGTCGATCAGACACGTTGAAGTTAAATATTCATCTTTTGAATGAAATCTCTACACTATCTGGGAAAAGTGCTGATGATCTTTGAATAGCTGAACCGATGTTCATCAAACATTTATAAAACGGATTCATCCTCCATAACAGTATGCTGCCACTGAATTAGTAACAGATTCTTTTTACGATATATCACATGAAAAAGTTTCTGGCTCAAATTTTATATTGGTCTTAAAGATACCAATATTTCTTACTAGTGGTAGAATCCTCTATCTGTACAGGAGAGGATTAAGGCCACATTTTAATTATATGATCCCCAATTACGCCACTGGACGCCATTGCTAGGGACGAACAGCCTTTTTGTTGTTAATATTTTAGCAGGGAACGAAAAAGGAGAACCCAAGCAGTATTAACCTGGTTCAAAGTACAGCTGCGTGTGATACGCAGCAATCTCTGGACGCCATTTCCCCTGGTTTGACACACTAGACAGAATTCCTAAACTACGAACAGCTCCTGTTTATCTACAAAGATGATTAATTCAAGTTCAGTTTTGTGATAACTTTGATTTTGGAGGAATCATGCGCTATAGGAAGATATACATATGTGACTATCTCACCTTGACAGAAAATATGTTCCCTGTGTGTCCAGTGGCTATGTTATGCAACAGCTTATAGCGGAAGGGGTCCCACAGGATCACGCGGAGATCGTCTGATGCGGATGCGAGGACTCTGTTGACCAAAATACAATTATGTTTATCATTTAAAGCTAAGCAAGGCAGAAATGATAATTATGAACATTTTTGTTTTAAAAAATCATAAACGTAAGTTCATAAATAAAACCAATGTGTTGATTAAAATTAGTTTTATATATTTTGTTATTTATGTAATAAAATTTTCACATATTGTGTTTAATTTGTATAATTATCCCCTATGATTTATTATTGTTTGTTTGCATGTTGGATGTAAGTCAAAAAGGAAAAAAATTACATATGTATGTAGTGTAGTGTAAATATATAATTCTGATATTTTCTTGAAATGCGGTAGGTAGCAGCCTCTGGACAGCATCAACGTTCCCAGTCGCTTCCGAGGCCCTACCGCCCCTAGGTCTCCTCAGCGCCCACTGGGGGGGCGCTAGGAACCACTTTGGGGAAACTATGATATAAGTGGATACCTGTAATGAACGAGAAGTAACGAGTGTCTTATCTAGCTATACACAATAGTTAGAAGCACAATAGTTAGAAGCAATGAAAAAGAACAGAAATCTAATACTTGAAGTATCAACTATAAGACAGGAGATGCAAGTAATCAAATAAGTTGAGATTGTCACTAAATATGCTGACAAAATTCTTAGATACGTTCAGCATCCAGGTTGCCTGAGCCACTTGAACATGTCAAGGAAACTGACCCTGTAGAACACAATAATCTGTACATAGGGAGCACTATAACTTTCCGGAACTGGCCACTTACATAAATAATATTTAAAAAGTAATTACAACATTTGACAATGAAACTCTTTGGCTGTAGAATACAGTTTGTTTCATCTGACTGTCACTTGTTTTTACATTGTGGCGTCATTTTAGAAATTGGTTGTCTACATCACCATGGATTTAACTCGTGAAAATTTCCGTAGTATGATTTTTTTTTTCTTTTTTTTTTTTTTCTTTTTTTTATTGTGACTCGGCAAAACGACTGCACCGCGCCTGATGGAAAGTGCGAATACAGTCCAGAGATGAGAGTAACGGATGGAAAACACAAATATCTTCACTCCGTCACTATCATTTTGCTGGTCTGGCCAAATGCTTCTTCACACTACGTTTGAAGGACCCGATGTTATAGAGGGGAGGGAATACATGCGCCGGGAGTTGGTTCCACAATTTGATGGTTCGGCATAAGAACGAATTGCCAAACTTTTTAGTGCGGGACGGTATTGAACTGACCGTCCAACTGTGGCAACGCAGTCCGGCACGGGTGGTCCGCTGATGGAAAGGAGAAGAAGGGATAAGGTTGAATAACTCTTCAGAGCACTCACCGTGGTACAGGCGATAGAATACGCTAAGAGACGCTATACCTCTGCGAAGCTGTAACGACTCCGCATGCTCAGTTACATGAGGATTGTTGACAACACGGAAGGCGTAGCGCTGCAGTCCATCTAGGGCATCGAGCAAGTACTTGGCAGAGCCGTCCCAAAGGTGCGAACAGTACTCCATGCTGCTTCGGACCTGAGCTTTATACAACAGGTATCGCAGCTCTGGAGTAAAAAATCGGTGCACCTTGTTCAGGATGCCAAGCTTGCGCGACGCGGTACAGATGACGCTCTCTCTCTACGACTTTAAGTGTAATGTAACAGCTCAGCGGAGCTTCCCTCGGCTTCAAACTGCTTTTGGCGATGAAGCACCACACAAGACGACTATTTATAGCTGGTTTGCAGAATCAAATCAAACGTGGTCGTGTGAATCTCAGGGACGAATTTCGTGATGGTCGCCCGTTCACTGCTGTGAACAACAAGAACATCGATGCTGTGCGCCGTATAATCAAAACAGACAGGCATGTGACTTATCATGAGATTCGGGCATCTTTAGGCATAGGCATGAGTCAAATACAATCAATCCTACACAAACATTTGGGTGTGAAAAAGCTGTGCTCTCGGTGGATCCCAAAAAACGGATCGTGTCACTTGGTGCAATGCCATGCTTACCAGATTCAACGAAGGGGCGTCAAAATTGGTGTGGGACATAGTAACAGATGACGAAACATGGATTTATAGTTACGATCCCAAAACAAAGCAGCCCATACGCTCGATTGAGCGTATGGGTCTTTCGAAATGAGCCGAAACCAACCAAAGTGGCGCGCGAGCAAAGTGCCTTTAAGCGGATGATTGCTTCTTTTTTTAATAAAACTAGACACATGGCTACTGTTGCTTTGGAGAATCGTTGTACCGTGAATAGTAATTGGTACACGTCCATTTGTTTGCCCGAAGTTATTGACAAACTCCGTAAACATAACCGTAAACGCCGTATCATCTTGCACCACGATAATGCCAGTTCTCACACGGCCAAACAGACAAATGAATTTTTGATGGTGAACAACGTTGACCTTAAGAGCCATCCCGCAAACAGTCCCAATCTGGCACCTTGTGACTTTTATTTATTTCCAAAAATTAAGAACCAGTTACGTGGTCAATGATTTTCATCACCTGGTGAGGCTGTCGAGAAGTATTAAAAATATGTTTCATAGATTGTCACAGAGGAGTGGCATAAATGCTTTCAAAATTGGTTTATTCGTATGAAAAAGTGCATTAACGCTAATGGAGAATATTTTGAGAAACAATAAATTCATTTCTGACCATTTATAGCATTTTTTTCTTATTCATTCCAGAAACTTACAATGCGCCTCACGTAATAATTACTGAGGATAAGAACTCTTTAATTTGGTCTGTTTTTGGTTCAAGGTCCAATCACAGATGGAATCACAAAAACAAAAAAGATCAGGCTTGAATGTATGTTACACAAAACTCCAAGGAAAAAGCCGGCTCTGCCATTGTGTTGGCAGGCATAAAGCCAAAAGTTTGGTACTGTTCCTCAGTACAGACTACAAATTTTGCAATTTTATTAATCTCAAACCCCAGGTCTGTGGGTCTCCAGTGCTTTTTTTCTTCTACAAAATAATATTCATAGTCAGTCCATTCATCAATGGACTGACTGGGATACCCAAAGCCTGGCAGCTACTTTGCCTAACACTTTAGTACAGTCAAACAAAGAGACAAAGCTTTCAGCATTTCGAGCACCATGGGGACCCAATTCAATTTTTTTATATAGCCCAAGTCCTAGAGTCAAGACAATGTATGTTAGGCATTCATAAGTTTATCTGTTTGTAGTTATTATAATTGAGATACTATTATTCAGAACTTGTGTGCAGCCCTTCATCACTGCGACCATCAATCTGTTGTGGTCACCCGTAGTTACAATTTGAAACCATGACCAAGCATCATTGACTTACAAATAAATGGACGACGGGTCTAATACAAAAACCACGAAAAAAATGTCCCAAGTCAACCTATTCGAAATTTAAATTGTAATGTCATCGCAGTATAGCGCTGTCAGTCGAACAAATCAAGACTAAAGCGGAGTTTGGCGCTCTGTATACGATTTTAGCGCCTTACAAGTGCTGACACTTTTTAGCACGGACCCGACGTCCATATAATTGTAAGTCAATGCCAAGCATTAAAAAATTGAAGGATTCTCCTGACTTAAACTGTTTTGATGTCCATGACTGTGGCCTATGCCTTCTCAATACGGAGTTTTGTTCACCCATTTAGGGGCAGCATTGGGTAAGAAGGTGCAGAGGAGTGTTACTGTTAACATTGGACATGTCCTTATGAAAGCCACAATGCCCTGTTAAAGCTCTAATGAGTGTTCAAGAATGCGTATTCAGTAAGCAATCTTTTATAAAATTTACAATAAAAATGGAAAAATCCAAATTTTGAATCCTCAATGACAACAATTACTTGACTTTTACATACATCAAGACCTATTCATATCTGTAAAATCTTCATTGTCATTTATTTAGCTATAAATGACACATTTAGAAGGCAGTTTGTTGATTGGGCAAAATCTACAATATAGATACATTCTACTAAGTATTAACAGCACAACATATTATAAAAATTCTTGTTACTTATCAATAAAGCACAAGTCATATCTTAATGTATAAGTAATAATTCAATAATGCAGTTTAACTAATTCTAGAGTAGGGGTGTCCACTCAGAAAATACATCAATGCCTTCATTCGATGTAAAACATCGAAACCTTGCATCGATGTTTTTCAATGCAGCACTTAAAAACATTGATGTTTTTTCAACATCAAATACTTTTTCGTTTTTCTTAGCTTAATAGTGAATGCAGAGTAACACTATACCAATAGAGTGGTGCTGTCTCTGTAGTGATGTATTTAATTTTATGATACTTTTATGAAAGTTTAGTTGTACTGATCAAGAGAAGCCAGGAACTTAACAAAATAGTATTGCATCAGTATTACATACATTTATAGATGAAAAAAAAACTAAGGTAAACTGTCTAATATAGACAAATAAGTTTGATACATATTCAATTATTCACTTACAGAAGAATGAAATAAGCTAGGATTATAAATACAATTAAAACAAACACTAAATGACTTAAAATATCAAATTGAAACACAGAGGCACACCAGAGTTAGTGTTTTTTATTCAAAAATATTGATGCATCATATCATAGAATTTCTTCTTGTCAAAACATCGAATCAATCTGATGTGCTGTAGTATAAACGTCGAATGGATGTTCAACAAATATCCCTATCCTAGTGTCTCTTAAAAACAAAACCTATACACAGGTCATAAAGTGAACCATTAAAAGAAGGTACAAAATACTCACGATCCATCGTGGTTCCACTCCAAGCAGTTGACGCATCCCATATGTCCATGAAGCTCTTTCTCCAATCCCAGCCTATCCACCATACTACGCGTCACAGTAAGGCGAGTTTGGAACTGCCTAGTCACATCACCTCGCTCCCTAGCAGCTGTCAGCCCTATAGTGCCCTTAGCCCAAGCGGGCTCCTCTCTTCTACCCATATTTACCACGAGAAACCTACACTTAAAAACAATTCATCTATGCATCACAGACGTAAAACACTGCAAAATCTATTTATAGTGCACATTGGAACACCCATCCCCTACCCGTGAACAACAATTTAGTAACATAAAAATACGTTTTCAAGCAAGTTCAACCCGAAATTCTAATAAAGAAAGGACAAAAAGCTTTTCCTGCGATCACCAAGCAATTTTCTTTCGAAAATAAAGCGGAGCTGTCAAACAGCTGTCGTGCCAGACATTTTTCTTCTCTATGATTGCTCATTCACTTAATTTTACAGATCGATTTTTTTTCATAACTAGAAAGATTAAATTTTAACAAAAGTATGTACATATAAAACGATAACATAGATAAAGGTAGTTTATTTTTCTTCAGAGATGTATACATATCACAATATATAGGTCAATAAATGTACTAAAAAAATATATCGATAATTTGACAAGCCGACAATTTCAACTCTAATAGAATTTTCCATTCCAAGATGTTCATTCATATCGTTCTTTCTGGTTCCTTTGTTTGACATTTTGTTTTAGTTATTCATTTTATTCAGAGATAAAATCCTAAAACAAGGAATTGTGATAGCGTTGTTCAACCAATTTATCGTAAAAAACGACTTTTAATATATTCTAAAGAAGTAAGTAACCTAAACTCACCTGAGAAAATTTAATTACAATCTTAATTGCATATTCATTGTTTAAATTAATCGTAACTGCAATATTCAATTTAAATCCAAGATTGTGCTCTAATTTCAGGCTTTCCAGCAACAAAAATGGGAGAACGTAAAGGCCAGAACCTCTATTACCCTCCGGACTACGACCCTAAAGTCGGAGGGTTGAATAAATTTCTCGGAACTCATGCTTTACGCGAAAGAGCACGAAAACTCCACATGGGCATTCTTATAATAAGATTTGAAATGCCCTACAACATCTGGTGTGATGGATGTAACAACCACATCGGCATGGGCGTAAGGTACAATGCAGAGAAAACAAAAGTGGGAATGTATTACAGTACCCCGGTGTATCAGTTTAGAATGAAGTGTCACTTGTGTGATAATCATTTTGAGATCAAGACTGATCCAGGGGTAAGTATGTCTACTTTATTTCTTCATCTACTTGTTCCCGGTTTTTGTCTCCCTGCAACAAACAACAATCAGACGGCTCCATTGGGGGCACTATTAAAACAGAACACAACATATGACAGGAGAAAATTGCTTGGGAAAGTGGCCTAGATTCAGTTGCTGCCCTCCTCAGTTCCTCGTCTATCTTTACAATTGTCTTGGATTACATTTTCTCAGAAAGTATTCGGTATTCTATATAAGTATATATATTGTATAAGAGGCCATGAGAACCATAGTGGCCTAATTCAATGGACAAGCCATAGTGGCCTATCTTACTTAGGCCAATATGGCACCTCAAATTTAGATCACAGACTAAAATCTATAACAATGATTATGCTGCCATCTAGTGAAAATTCGTTGTATCACTTTTTTCTGGTTCTATCAAAATGATCAATTTGAACTGGAAAAAATCATAAACTCAATATTGTAAAAAAATGAGTTAGGCCACTATGGTTCTCATGGCCTCATATATATTCTATACATAGGTGAATACCTACTACTTATAGAATTATAAGTACAAAAAATGTTTGAACTAATTTATTTGAAACAAGCACTAAAATCAAAATTAAATTAAAATCGCAACATTTTTAAGTCCTGACCTTGTACTCTCATCCTCCGTCTGACATCCGTCCAAAACAATTACTGTCAAATAAATAATACTTGACCAAATTAAAAAACGCATGGTGCGAATGAAGCTTCTTACTTGACATTATCTTTTAACTTGGTCAAAAATTACTTATTTGAAAGAAATTGTTTCAGACTGCTGTCTGATGGAGAATAAGAGTAGACCCCTGTTTTCATAGTGTAGCCTTTAGTTCAGCCCAACCTAAACAACTGATGGTTTGCCATTTGCAGGGGAAAAAACCTGTCTTTAGTATTTACAATAAGCAGTGCCTTATTCCAATCCTGTTGAATATTTAAACTCCTTATTCAATCCAGTTGAAGTATAGTGGTAGCTTGCAATATGTCAATAAAAAATCATGTGACTTCATTTCATTTATTACATTTTATTTCTAATGCTATCCTGTGCGCAAAAGAAATATTTTATTTGTGAACAATTTCTCTTCAACATATAAACTTTTATTCATTATATTTCAGAACCTAGACTATGTTATAGTATCAGGTGCAAGAAGGCAAGAAAACCGTTGGGACCCAACAGAAAATGGCCAAGTAGTTCCAGAAACAAAAGAGACGCAGAAAAAACTGTTTGACGATGCCATGTTCCGACTTGAACATAAAACAGGGGATGAAGATAGTGCAAAACAGGACAAACCCAGGTTGGGAAGACTAGTTGGCAGGAACGAGACTGTTTGGAAGGACGATTATGAGGCCAATTGCTCTTTGAGGAGGAATTTTAGAGTAAGTTGATTGAACAATTAAAAAATATTGGAAAATTTCCCACTACAGTGAACTAGCACATGTACAAATTATTCTAAGGGCGATCCTCACCACGAACATGCTCTTGTAATGTAACATTGAAAAGCGAGCGTTACAGGCGGTAAAGGAGGTGAGCTGAGCATACGCTGCACAACACTTGTAACATTCGGTAGTCTCCTTCACCCCATGGACCCATAATACTCACTACTGGGGTACTGGAAGTCTTTTAATATTGTTGATTGTGTCTCCCTTATACCAATTATAAGGTACATCAGTAAAATTATGCTTAGGATAAATTTTTTGTGTATGTCTGGTATTGAAGTATCAAGATTTTGGTTCATTTTCTTAATTTTGTGATTTGTATTTTTTTTTTTTCAATCCACAGAAGAGAAGAAAAGAATTAGAGGAAACTTCAATGAATGATAGTTTGCTGCTAGCAAAATCATCACTCGACATTAACCTTCTCCCGGAGTCACAAGAGGACCGCAATATGGCATCTCTTCTATCTCTCCGTCCTTCCCGCAGCATAGAAGAAAAACAAAACTACACTCGAAATAAAATCCTCAACAGCCCAGCCCTACCAAGTTCCAGCGGCCTTTTAACGAGTTTCGGAGGTCTTAAAAAAGAGGATTCGTTAAGCAAAACTACTCCATTAAGTAGAAATTCCCTAGGTATCATGATTAAGAAACCAAAATTAGATACCATAAGCAAAAATGTTGAAGTTGACCAAGAAATTAAAGTGAAACATTCTAATTTAAATTCAGATGATTTGCAGTCTATAGATGTAAAAGTACATAGTGAATGTATGAGGAAAGATAATGTAATTGAAAACAATGTCTGTAAAGATGATAACTTGTTTGAACTCAAATGTGATAGATATGATAAAGTATTGTCTTTGGTCTGTGATTATGGCTCAAGTGGTGAGAGTTCTGAATAAATGTATTGTTTCCTACTTTATCTTATTGACATATTTCTAAAGTCCAAGCTTCAAGTTATAGTTTAACAGATGTTGACCATACATTGTATACCTATTTCGTTCTAATGTGCTTACGAGTATGCTACTACAATTATAACTTTACCTTAAAGTTTCAACAAAGGTTTGATATTTTAAGTGATGTTCTACAAGATTTGTTTTTCAATGTTATGTATCTATTGTTATGTAGCTACGATTTTAGGATAAGTATGTATGTAATGGGGTGTAAGGTTGTTCCACCTCCAAGTGTGCAAAGTACTTAAGCGGTCTGTGATAATACGTTGTCACAGAACGCCCAAGGACGGAGCCGGTACACCCTGGGGCCAACACTGACAACTCTCAGCTTCAGTCTCAGTTTTATCAGTGAGGGCGCGAAGAGATCAACGCGGCCCGGCCATGTGTTACCGGGGGTGGACCATGGCCAATGGGCGGTCTTAATTCACACCCTCCTGCGTTCATGCCTACGCAGTCGAGCGCCGTACGCATGGATGAAGGAGTCCTGGGGGGTTGAGCCGGAGCGGGGGAAGGAAACCCCGTAGGCAACACGCCCTCTTTGGTCCGGATTTCAGGCTAAACGGTAGCTTTGTGACTAGCCATCACAGAGAAATGGCATCGTGTCCCGTCAGAGGGCCACAGGCAAGGTGAGGTGGGGACGGACTCGGCCATGCTGACGGGGTAAGGATGTGTGGAACACCTGGCGGGCTAAGATCGAGTCAGCCAGCTGCACATTACGAGCCCTTGATGTCGCGCAGTGAGCTCCTAACCATTGCACCTATATCCTCTTGGTAATCCTGGTGTCCCGAATGGGACATCCCCAAAGGTGCGGGCTCCGTGGCGGGTGGGAAGCCAAGAGGATGAATAAACATTATTAAGTGATGGATACCAATAGATCGCTTCAAAAAAAATCGGCGGTACTGGCGGGGAAACCCAAAAGTGCCCCAACAAACACCCAAACACCCACATACACACTGCGCCCTACGGTGAGTGGAAGGCCAAAGGGGAAACCCAATGGCCAACCACGCATCGATGCTGGTGCTAGTACTACCTCAAATACGAAACAAGCGGACGTGGCCCGGACTAAAGGTTATGCGGCCCCCGCCCACATATCTAGTTCTACGTTGCAGAACCCCACAAACGTAGCCCTCGATGCCGCGTGGACTCTGGTGAGCCGTAAGCCTAGAACCACAGCACCCATCCATATGGAAGGACGAAGTGGCTCTTGCGTGGCTCCAACTCCCAACGGGAGCAGAGGACGCCCAGCTCGAAAGAACAAAAAAAGACGCCTTAGGGATGAGAAGTTGAAGAAGACAGAACAGGCAACTACGAACCACCCCCAGAAGGTGATAGAGGTGACACCTCCAGGAGATGGCAGAAATGGTTCCGGGATCGCAGCAGTACAGCTTTCTGGACCAAATGCACACCATTCCGGTGGTATTCTGCCCCCTCCTAGTAGTCTTCTGCCCCCTCCTAGTAGTCTTCTG